CCTCCCAAAAGGCTTGGAAGCATGATTCCTTCTCAGATGAGACGAGAAACATATATTTATGTTTCTTGTGGTGAAGTGTTGAAAGTCCAACCGAAGACCATTGTACACATTGGTGTACATAAAGAAGAAAATGAGGAAAGCATAGGCTCAAGTGATGACGTACCACCAACAACTCAGGGAGAGGTGGTCTCGTCGTTCCATATCACTTTGTGTGATGAGACCCCGATTGAGGGGGAAGATGCGGAGGACGCACCCCATGAGTTAGAAGAAGGGGTACGAGCCACAGTGGATGAATTAAAAGAAGTTGATCTAGGAACTCCTGAAAATCCTCGTCATATCTTCATTAGCGCACTCATATCTGATGAAGATGAAGAAATCTATGTCACATTGCTGAAAGAATATATTGATGTCTTTGTATGGACATACAAGGAGATGCCAGGGTTAGACCCAAAGGTAGCTATGCACCGCTTAGCAGTGAAGAAGGGGTGTCGCCCGGTTAAGCAAGCTCAACGACACTTCCGCCCTGAGCTCATTCCCTCGATTGAAACAGAAGTTAATAAGCTTATTGAGGCTAGCTTCATTCATGAAGTTAAATATCCAACCTCGATATCAGTATTGTGCCCGTGCGCAAGAAGAACGGCCAGATCCGCGTCTACGTAGATTTTCGGGACCTCAATGTGGCATGCCCGAAAGATGACTTCCCACTTCTTATCACGGAGTTAATGATAGATGCCATGACTGGGCATGAGATCCTGTCATTCATGGATGGCTCCTCCGGTTACAATCAAATCCGCATGGCGCCGGAAGATGAAGACTTAACTGCATTCCTAACGCCTAAAGGCTTCTACTGTTACAAAGTAATGCCCTTTGGTTTGAAAAATGCAGGTGCTACATACCAACGGGCTATGCAGACAATATTTGATGATATGCTCCATAAAATTGTCGAATGCTACGTAGATGACCTGGTTGTGAAGTCGAAATTGAGCACAAACTACCTGGTGCATTTAAGGTAAGTCTTCGACCGCCAACGAAAGTTTCAACTAAAAATGAACCCCCGGAAATGTGCTTTCAGGGTTGCTGCTGGAAAATTCCTCGGGTTTACTATTCGACACAAGGGCATCGAGATCGAGCAGGCCAAAATTGACGCCATAATGAAGATGCCTGAGCCGAGAAACCTTCATGAACTTAAAAGCTTACAAGGGAAGTTGGCTTACATCCGAAGGTTCATATCAAACCTAGCAGGAAGATGTCAACCTTTTAGTCGGTTGATGAAAAAGGGCATCTCATTCATATGGGATGAGGCATGCAAAAACGCATTAGTGAGTATCAAGTCATACTTGATGAAGCCGCCTGTGCTAAACGCTCCTGTTCATGGTCGCCCACTGATCCTTTATATCTCCGCCCAAGACAGTTCTGTGGGCGCCTTGCTTGCTCAGGAAAACAACAAGGGGAAAGAGAATGCTCTCTACTATCTCAGCAGAATGATGACCATGGACGAGTTAAAGTAGTCCCCAATTGAAAAGCTATGTTTGGGACTTGTGTTCACCATCAGAAAACTTAAACACTATTTCGAGGCTCATACCATTCGGCTTGTTTCCAAAGCGAACCCCCCGGTGAAATATGTTATGCCGAAGGTCATTCTCTCCGACCGCCTCGCAAGGTGGTACTTATTGTTTCAATAGTTTGAAATTATATATGTGCCGCAAAATTCTGTCAAGGGGCAAGCCTTGGCCAATTTCCTAGCAGATCACCCAATACCTGCTGAATGGGAGTTGTCTGATGATTTACCTGATGAAGATGTGCTTGTCATTGAAGTCCTACCCCCATGGAAGATATACTTTGATGGAGCTTCGCATAGAGAAGGGGCAGGTGCTGGAGTTGTCTTCGTCACTCCAAAAGGCGAGGTGTTGCCATATTCATTCACCTTGACCAGGCAATGTTCAAACAACGTTGCTGAGTATCAAGCGTTGATACTTGCGCTCGAAATAGCGGCTGACATGAAGCAACTGAGAATTAACATTTATGGAGATTCAAAGTTGATCATAAACCAAGTGTTAGGGCTATATTGAAGTGAAAAAGGCGGTGTTAGTCCCATATAGCAACTATGCAAAGATACTAATGCAATGGTTAGGGCATGGCACAATTGATCATGTACCGAGGAAAGAAAATAAGCAAGCTGACGCCTTAGTCGCATTGGCTTCAACTATTGCTCATCCTGCAGCCCGAGTACAAGTATGTCAAAAATGGGTAGTTCCACCAATCTTCAATGAAGACGGCTCAATTGATGAAACTGTTGAACTCCCTACTGCCTCAGTTTATGATATAGGCAAGGACAACTGGAGGCAACCGTTAATTGACTACCTCACTGACGGAAACTTACCTGAAGATTCTCGTAAAAGGGTGGATATAAAGCGTCGAACTCTTCGCTTCATCTACTATAAAGAGACATTACATCGTCGTTCCTTTGATGGAGTATTTCTTCGATGTCTAGTGGAAGAGGAAGCTTTACAAGCTATGCAAGAAGCTCATTCTGGGGTTTGCGGTACACATCAATCCGGTCCCAAGTTACACTTCCACATTAAGCGAATGGGCTATTATTGGCCTACAATTGTAAAGGATTGCATAGACTATGCTCGAAGATGTCAAGCTTGTCCATATCATGCAAACTTTATCCATCAGCCACCAGAACCTCTACACCCAACAGTTGCATCTTGGCCATTCGATTCTTGGGGACTTGATGTAGTTGGCCCAATTACGCCTAAGCCATCTGCAGGGCACGTATACATACTAGCTGCCACCGACTACTTTTCAAAGTGGGCGGAAGCTGTAGCATTGAAGGAGGTGAAGAAAGAAAATGTTGCAGACTTTCTCCGTGTCCACATCGTCTATCGCTTTGGTATCCCGCGATATATCTTAACAGATAACGGGAAGCCCTTTGACAACAAGTTGATGGACAAGATCTACAAGCTTTTTGGCTTTAAGCAGCGAAACTCATCAGCTTACTATGCAGCTGCAAATGGGCTTGCCGAAGCATTTAATAAGACCCTATGCAATTTGTTGAAGAAAGTGGTCACAAAATCAAAAAGAGACTGGCATGACAGAATGGAAGAAGCTTTTTGGGCGTATAGAACCACATACCGCACACCTACTCAAAGCACTCCATACTCTTTGGTGTATGGTGTAGAAGCGGTCTTGCCTCTAGAGCGCCAAATACCTTCCTTAAGGTTAGCCATACAGGAGGGTCTTACAGATGAAGAAAATGCTAAACTACGTTTGGCTGAGTTAGAAGCCTTGGATGAAAAACGTCTGCAAGCGCAACAAAGCTTGGAGTGCTATCAAGCTCGTATGTCTAGAGCTTTAAAAAAAAGGGTAAGGACCCGTTCCTTTCAAATTGGGGACAAAGTCCTAGCTGTTCGCAGGCCCATCATCGTCACGAGAAAAACCGGTCACAATTTCACTTCAAGGTGGGATGGTCCCTACGTGATTTTAGAAGTTTACACCGGCGGGGCTTATAAGCTAATTAGTAAAGATGGTTTGAAGATCGGTCTGATTAATGGAAGGTTCCTAAAGCTTTACCACCCTTAAACTTGGGGTGTCAACACAAGTCATGAAGATGTGATGAATGACTGATCCACCAAAAATGCAGCACGTGGTTAAACTGATAATGCATCTCGCTTTGTCTATGGCTGGGCCCAAATCATAGACACTCCTGGCCCGCATGAGTCTAAACTGTGAACGACTTTACTTTATCAAAAAAAAAATCATTTGAACTACGTTTGACTTGATCTCCTTGATAGGATTATGTAGGCAGCTTAGAATCAAATTATCTACGTTCAGTCATAACAAAAACAAATCCAATTCATGTTGCAAGAGTGGGTTATCCAGACAATCCTTCAACGGGTGAAAGAAAAGTTGTATGAATTATCACTAAAAGACCGGCACATAAATGAGAAACATTCAATTATCAAAAGTTTGAAACCAAACAACAAAAGTTCTTGCAATCAAAAGAGAAACTAAAGGACAAAGAGTATCAATCAATAAAAAAGTGATAGGAATATTTTTGTAAGTTTTGATGAAGCCAAATGTACTTTAGATCCCTTAGTTTTTAGGTCTTTGAGTACAAGCATCATAAATCAGAATAGCGAATCAAAAGGAATCTACCATAGGAAGAACAAAATTAATTTGAGAAATTAATTTTTGTCCTACGAGTATTCATCCGAGAAAGAAGCATAAAGGAATGGCGTTGCAAAGAATGACCGGATGAGCTTAACGGTGAAATGGAAGAAGTCTTTACTCAAAACGATCACACTTGAGATCAATTCCCCCCCCCCCCCCCCCCCCCCCCAAGGAATTATTTTTTACTAGTCAAATTTTCGGACAAGCACAATGTCCAAAAGAGCACGATGTTCACCAAGGAGCACAATGCTACCATGAAGCACAATGCTATCAAAAGAGCACAATGTATTAAAAAGAGCACGATGTGCTAAGGAGCACGATGTGTGCTGACAAGCACAATGTGTGCTAAGGAGCACAATGTTCAAAACACTACAAGAAAAATCGCGAATCGCGACGGAATTTTTCCGTCGCGAAACAGCAAAATTCCGTCGCGAATCACGTTTCGCGACGGAATTGCGACGGAATCCGTTCCGTCGTCTATCGGCTTGTCGTATTTTTGTTCGCGACGGAATAATTCCGTCGCAAAATATGGCAACGGAATTCGCGACGGAATAAGGCGTCGCAAATTTGCAACGGAACTTTTTCCGTCGCAATTCCGTCGCAATTTGGCAACGGAAATTATTCCAACGCTAATTCCGTCACCATTTTGAAAACAAATATTCCGTCACCAAATTCTTTTTTCCGTCGCGATTCCGTCGCATTTTTAAATTATTTTTTAAAAAGTTTATTTATAATTATTATTTTTAAATTTTTAAATAGTAATATGAACTTTTAAAATATCAATATAAAACTACAATGACATACTAAAACACAATTAATTCTAAAAAAATAACATAATTCTAAAACATTATAAATCTACATTAAGTTCAAGTAACAATACATCATCAATCCACAATGAACTTTAAAATTAATGAAAACAAGTTCAACAATGTTTTTGAGTTTCTTTGCTAATGACAGTGTTCTTCCTTTAAATCCAGAGGCATTCTGGCGGAAGCCATGTAAGCACAAAATCCTTAGTCTCCTGGAAGTTCCTGCAGGGCATGTTATTTTGAAAAATATCAGTGAACTTTCTGAGGCATTAATGATGACAGAATAACCAGGATGAAGGGTCAAAATAATACGTTGATAATATAAAAAGTAAATGCACAATCAAAACAAAGTTATATGGCATTGACATATTAAAAAGTGAACCTTGTGTCCAAGGAAACATTACTTGTCTGAGGAGAAAGAGTCAAATTTGGTTAAGAATCACAGAGCTTACCATGCAATCACAGACCCAAAATTTTTTAATCCAATCTCCCAAATGAAACCCTGCAATCACCAATGGCATTTAAGAACCAACAACTAAGATTTAACAACACTTATTCCTCTTTAGTAATTACCAGAGTACAATTACATCAGGTATGACATAGGATTCAACTTTTCATATTAACTTCATCCAAGCAAAATGTTCTCAATTTAGCAGTTCTTAGACTTGGGTAAACGAAGAGGATATAACTTCAATCAAGCATTTATTAACATGATGCCAAATTGAGAAACATGAACTAGAGCCTACTACATTCCAGAGCAATCTTTACTCCACATTTCAATATATCAACCCAGTGCTATTCAAAGTTCTAGTAAGATAGAAGTAAATCAACCATTTTTAAAAGGAGAAAGACCATTTCTTTAAACTTTGCCAGCATTGCATGAATTTCCTTATCAAGTAAGATTAACTTAGCATTGCATGAATTTCCTTATCAAGTAAGATTAACTTTGTCAAATGTTATGTAAGAGAAGATGAAAACAATTACCTTGTTACCTTGTCAATGATACTTTGTATAACATCATCTGAAAGGTTCATACTGGACTCAACAAGTGCAGCCAATACCATTTGCTTCACCTACAATTGTAAACAATGCTCAAATAAGATTGAAGAGCATTTATAAAAAATAAAAGCTAAAAAATAGAACATACAAACAAGCAAACAAAACAAAACAAAACAAAAACAAAAACAAAAACAAATCCTAAACTGCAACTACCAGAAAAGTACTACTTATCTTCTTAAACAATTCATATAATGCTTTTATTTCACTTACAATCAAAATAGGATTATGTTATTTACTGTTTTCCAAGACAAGCCATGACAAGTGAAGCCACAAATTTGCTTGGCATACATACTGTCGCCCTTGCAAGAGCTTCAGGATTTTGTAGACCTCGGGGCTGCTTAGACAAGTCAGTATCACATCAATTTGCAACAGAAGTAATGATTATGCAAACAGAAAAAGTAGCAAAAAAGCAATCAAATATCCACTACATTCTATCCAGTCCATCATCCAGTTAAAATACAATTAAAATACAATTGCTCTTTACACACACTTGCTCTTTACATACATTCTGCGCACACTTGCTCTTTACACTCTTTACATTCTGCCCACACTTGCTCTTTACAGTGTTAAGTTAGTCTATCATTCAATTAAAATACAAAATTAATTAATTTAAACCCAAATTTATTAGATAAAAAATCTGCAGCTTTGGCTGAAACTTAAAGCCAAAATTTAAGTAAAATTTAGTCAATCTTTGCTTCTTTGTTTCTATTTTCCCCCATTATTATATTTATTTATTTATGTTCATTTATTGATTATTACTACTGAATCTTTGCTTCTTTGTTTCTATTTTCCCCCGAATCAAGATTTTTATAAAATTCAGAAACTTTTAAAAATGATAGGATTTTATAAATTTTTATAGATTTTAAATTTACTATTATAAATTTGTGTAAGAGTAAGAAAAATATGCTGCATTTTCTTTAAGCAAGAATGAAGTATTAAGAAGAAAAAAATGGCTCAAATCTTTATGGAATAGCTGGATAAAATATGGAAGGACAAGACTGGGGTTGCTATCATCACTTAGCCCACTGAGGTTTCAACAAGATATATACAAATCTTTACTTCTCTGTAACATGTTAAAGAGCTGCCATGAATGCAAAATGCAGAGATGCAATGAGGTGCTGCTCACCCTATATGTGCTACAGGAAGACAAAATACTCAACATATTGAGTTCCCTATCTAAACTAAAGGCATCCATTAGGACTGCTGGCTGCAGCAACAAAGGTTTTATCTTTGGAATTGGCAGGCAAAGTTATAAGATTTATGAAGATAAAAAATTAATTCAGTATTATTAAATCATAACAAATTAGGGTTATGAACTATTCTATATGAACGAGGGCACTCAATCAATTCGAACTAAAAGCAGAGGAATTAGCTTTCAACAAGAAGGAGGGCACTCAATCAATACTATATGAACTATTAAATTCAATTTGAACTAAAATCAGAGGAATTAGCTTTCAAAAAAAAAATAAAAAATCAGACCAAATATTAAAGAATTACCAGTCGAAATCGTGAGGAGTTCTGTTGCACGACGACGCTTCACGGCGACGACGACGGCTGCACAGCAACGGCGACGGGCGAAGCTCTACTGCGTTCGGCGTTCGGCGTTCGGCGTTCGGCGTTCGGCGAGGCGTTCGGCGTTCGGCGTTCTGAGGAGCTCTGGAGTGTTGGGCTGTTGTGACTTGTGCGTTGGAGTTCTGCGATTTAGCTTAGGGTTATAAGTTAGGAAAACGCCACCCTTTAAAGTTAGAAGAAAAAAAAATAACAAAACTATTGCGACGGAATAAAATTCCGTCGCAATTCCATCGCAATATTTAGTTTAGACACGAAGACTTAACTCATTTAACGACGGAATCTAGTCGGTGGCAATTTCTATCACTATTTAGCGACGGAACGAATATCGGTCACCGTTTCCGTCGCGAAATGAACGACGTAAAATAGTTCGGTCACAAATTCGGTCGTAATGTTTTACCGCCAATATTTCGCGGGCTTTATTTTATCTTAGCGCCAAGATTCGCGACGGAATTTAATTCCGTCGCCCTTTCCATCGCTATTTCGCAACGGAATGTATTTGGTCGCCTTTTCCGTCGCTAAATCGCGACGGAATATTATCCGTCGCGATCCGCGATTTTTCTTGTAGTGAAAGGAGCACAATGCTACCAAGGAGCACAATGCTACCAAGGAGCACAATGCTATCAAAAGAGCACAATGCTACCAAGGAGCACAATGCTATCAAAAGAGCACAATGTATTAAAAAGAGCACGATGTGCTAAGAAGCACGATGTGTGCTGACAAGCACAATGTGTGCTAAGGAGCACAATGTTCAAAAGGAGCACAATGTATCTAAAGGAGCACAATGTTCTACAGGAGCACAATGTGAACAAGCACGATGTGTCCAAAAGAGCACAATGTGACCAAATCAGAAAAACACAATGTTCAAGTCAAAGGAGCACGATGTTCAAAGTCAAAGGAGCACAATGTGGCAAAGAAGCAAGATGATCAGAAATTGAATCAATTCGAAGGAATTTATTCCAAGTCTACCCACATGCCACAAGAATCCAAAATTGCCTGAAAGACATTTGATCAGAACGGAAAAATATTTATGAAGACATGAATATAAAAACTTATCCTAGAAATAAATTCTATCAGATGAATTTATTTCAAAGATACGTTGGATATTCAATATAACAAGAAAAATAATATTTTAAGAAACAGCTAGAAAATCAAGTTGTGATAAAATATTATTTGTCAGGCAAGTTGACAATCAAATCAAAATTGAAGACCTATTATTGTCAACAATATCAGGCTATGAAGATTCAAAATTCAAATATCAAATTATCCCACTCCAACGGATATATTTGATTGCCTATAAAAAGCCATGAAGACTTGAAGACAAATAGTGTGTGGAGCAGAGGTGAACAAGATAGACACGAGATAGAAGTGCAATACACACGAAAATTCAAAAAGTGCAAGTGCTCAAATATTCTTAGAAACTTAGTCTGAATAGTCTCAAATCTAGTTGGAGAGAGATACAATTACCCTTGTATTTGTAATTGTAAAAAGAGTATAGATGTGTGCAAAAAATACTCTAGTGAGTGTAGCTGTGTGCAAAACACTCGTAGTTGCTAAGTGTAGCTGTGTGCAAGACACTTAGTTGGCGTTGAGTATAGCTGTGTGCGAAATACTCGGAGTTGAGTGTAGCTGTGTGCGAAATACTCGGAGTTGAGTGTAGCTGTGTGTGAGACACTCGGAGTTGGGTGTAGCTGTGTGCAAGACATCCGGAAGAAGTGCTTGTGTAGCGCTTATTCACTATTGTAACTGTGTGTTAAAAATAGTGAATTTCTCCTTGACGCGAAAGGAGAAAAGTGGACTAGGAAGATTACGCCACTTCCGAACCACTATAAATTGCCTCTACAGTGAATTTACATACTGCACTTACATAATTTGCTCTAACTATCTATCTTATCCGACTAACCCGTTTACTATTCACAGTTAATCTTAATCTTTCGGGTTTAGTGTGTTTTCACGTATGCATGTGATTCAAACTTCTCAAGCTTAAATATTGAATTATTCTAAGCAAGTTTGACGTGTTGCATGTAACATTCGTTACACGGTCGACGTGATACGATATTTATTTACAATCTTGAATATTGTTATTATATATTGAGTGAACCATCTCCTTTATATATCCAAGGTACCTCTGTTACTTTATTCTATCTTACATGCGTATTTAATTCATTAGTTGGGCATAACTCTTTACATACTACCTATTCCGCTGTGCAGTTTAAACTTACTCTGTTTACTTGCTACTTAGAGTTGAAGTTACCAAAGAGTTATTTAAATTGTGAAAAAGTTTAGAAAGTCTATTCAAAAGAGGAATGGTCTCGTGAAGATAGAACAAGAAATAACTTGGACAATATTGCCAAGGATATTTTGTTTAAATCTATCGATGACACGATATTTCCAAAAGTTCGAAAGTGTCAATCCGCGAAGGAAGTTTGGGAAACGCTCATTCAAATTGGTGAAGGAGACGAACAAGAAAAAGATAATAAGCTCACCATAGCATTAAAGAAATTCGAGGGTTTCAAAATGCTAAACGGCGAGAATATTACCGACATGGAAACAAGATTTGCCAAAATCTTAGGAGAGATTAATGATCTTGGAAAAGATATTAATCAAAAAGAAATTTCACTCAAAGTTCTACGTGGTCTACCATCTACATGGGACATGAAGGTCACGGCCATGAGAGATCATAGGGATCTAAAAACCCAATCGACCGATAAGCTCTTTAGTGATTTAAAAGCTTATGAATTTGAGATGAAATCAAGATTAGAGGAAGATCATGAAGAAAAGAACAATGCACTTGTAGCCGAGCAACCATCAACCTCAAGGTCAGTACAAAATGTTGAATTATTGCCTAATGATCAATTTGCTCTCTTTGTCAAGAAATTTAGGAAATTCATGAAGAGAAGCAACTACAAGAAAAATCCACAAGGGAAATCGTGGAATGCAACAAAGAATTCGAAGAAAGAAATTATTGAGGAAGATTCGAATTTATGCTACAATTGTAGAAAGCCTGGACACTTTGCAGCAAGTTGTCCACACCCTAAGGTAAGTAAAAGTCAATATACAAATGTTTCTAACTCTCAACAGGAAGAATTCAAGCCCAAAGATAAAAGGTTCACAAAGGAGAGAAGAAAAGCACTTATTAGTGACCCACTTGAAATAAGTGAGTCAGAAGAATCTTCAAGTGATGAAAGTGACACCTCAAAGGATGACAATGCAATGTTTTGCATGAGCATCTCCAACAACTCACCCTACGAGGACATGTGTCTTATGGCAAATGGAAATGAAGAAAATGAGGTAACATCTCACTCTTATGATTCTGTCAATTCTTCATTTTCTAGAGAGTCCTTCTTTCACTTAATAGAAGAATGTCAAACCGTAATGGACACTCACTCTCAACTCAAAGAGCGCAATTGTCTTTTGATTCTCGAAAAAGATCAAATAAATGAGAAATTGCAAAATGCTCTACTTGAAGTGAAAGACTTGAAAGATAAAATTATTTGTCTTCAAGAAGAGTGTAAATCAAGGGAAGTGAGAGAACACAACCTTAGAGAGGTTATAGCAACATTTACACATTCATCCAAAATAATGGACAAAATGGTAAATATGCAAAAACCCTCAAGTGATAAAACCGGACTCGGTTATGATCCATCGTGTTCTCAAGCCTCCAAGAACTTGGCCAATTCTACTACTACTTTAAGTAATAAAGTCCAAGTAGTAAAATTTGTAAAAGGTCAAGAAAGCACAGTGAGACAAGGAGTTGGTTATGAAACGAATGTCAAAATTAATACTGTTAGGCCTAAACCCCAAAGAAATATTATTTCACCTAAACAGTATACAAAAAGGCAAAAGTTTGTTCCTAAATGGAAATACACCAATGAGTCTAGTGCACAAAGCCCTCATAGGAAAATGGGAAGGAATTCAAGAATTGAGGCAGGGAGATTTTATCCCTCAAAACAAAATTGGGTTGGTTATATTAAACCATGGACTAAGTCCAGATTTAATGCCTATCCTAGGCCCAAACAATCTTCTTCCCACGTGCCAAAAAATCGAGTAAATTTTCAAAAATCGGCACAAAAAATGTTTTCAAAAATTAAATATGATTATAATGTGTTTAATGGTTACCAATCACCTAAACTTAGATCAGTGAGTACAAGGTGGATTTGGGTACCAAAAATGACTAACACTCAAGGACCCAAATCAAGTTGGGTACCTAAAAATGTTTAATTTGTTTGCAGGAAGTTTGGTACTTCGATAGTGGATGTTCTAGACACATGACTGGAAATAAATCTAGTCTTGTGAATCTTAAAAATATCGAAGGACCAAAAGTCGTATTCGGTGGAAATGAACGATACGGCATAACAAAAGGAATTGGTACAATTTTTCGAAATGGTTTGAAATCGAAGATGTATCCTTTGTTGAAGGTCTAAAATTCAACTTGTTGAGTACAAGTCAATTTTGTGACAAAGGATATCTAGTTGAGTTCTTCAAAGACAAGTGCCAAGTGAAGAATAATTCCTCGGGAGAAGTAGTGCTCGAAGGAATAAGGAAGAAAAATATGTATGTTGTGGATTGGAACACAACAAAAGAATCAGTGTGTCTAGTAGAAAACAACTCACACGCAACAAGTTGGGAATGGCACAAGAAGTTGAATCATCTAAACTTCAAGACAATCAACAAGCTAGCAAGAAACAAACTCGTTGAAGGTTTACCCGACATTATCTACAAGAAAGATCAAATATGTGATGCTTGCCAAAGAGAAAAGCAAATCAAGTCATCTTTCAAATCCAAAGCCCAAGAATCTACAACAAGACCGCTGAGTCTACTACACATGGATCTATTCGGTCCAGTAGACCCTGCAAGTCTAAGTGGTAAGAAATATACACTAGTTGTTGTTGATGATTTTTCCAGGTACACATGGACGATATTTCTCAAAAAGAAAAACGAAGTCGAGCAAAAGCTGCCAGAACTACTCAAGCTGCTACAAAACGAGAAAGACTTGAAAATTGCAAAAATCCGAACTGATCGAGGAACAGAGTTCGTGAATCAAGTAATTAAAGTCTACTGTAATTCTCAAGGAATTCTACATCAATTATCTGCCGCACGTACACCGCAACAAAATGGTGTA